GGGGGAGGAAGTTTTCGGTAATGGGCCACAATAATCAACCACATTGTATATTGACAAAATAAAATAAAAATTTTTTTAAAAATTTTTTAAAAATTTAAAAAAGAATATATAACACCAAGAGTGAACCCTAATGTAAACTATGGACTTTGGGTGATAATGATGTGTCAATGTAGGTTCATCAATTGCAATAAATGCAACACAGTGGTGCAGGATGTTCACAGTGGGAGAGGTTGTGTGTGGGTGAGGGCAGGGGTTTCACGTGAACTTTCTGCACTTCTCACTCAATTTTGCTATAAACCTAAAGCACCTCTAAAAAGACAACATCTTAAGGGTACTTCAAGAAGCTAATAGAAAGATTCATATTCACTTTTAATTCTATTTTTCCACAAACCTTTTGAAGTACCCTCATATATGATTGAAGGATATCTCACAATACATAAAATTCATTTCCGTAATTTTATTTTAAACACTTCTGACTCATTAATAGTTCACAGAATTATTATAATAAAATTGTTTTATGAATTCAGACTCTAGAGCTTCCAGCAAGACATTATCTTACGTCAGGACTTTGTTACTTTAAGGATTCGTGAATGGTGAATTTCTGTAGGAGTGATATAAAATTTAGATCTGTTACAGTGAGAGCAGAGTGTTTCTCATGTCTAACATTCAGTAATAAATGAGTTATTTTAAGGAAAGTAGTTAGAAAAATAACCCTAATTCTGAAGTCACCATTCTCCCAGGGCATTGAAACTAAAATGAATGCATGACAGCAAATTTGTTAGCTGCTGGCAGCAGTATAGAGCTCAATGTGACAAGTGCACAAGTCAATAAAGGAACTGCCGGCTCTGAGAGGCAGTGGTTTTAAAACTATGCTCCTGGTCCTCTGTGAATGTAGCTCAGGGTCAGCAGAAAGGAGGAAGGAGAGGCTGAGCAGGCTAGCATCCAGTCCTTCCAACTTTCTTCAACAGTTTATGTTTTTAAGTACTGGATTTCTCAGTATTTCATTTGAAAAAGAAATGTTTGGCTTTACTGTTAAAAGCAACCACATTGTATTGACACTCTTTTTTTCCAGATTAATGAGCTCTCTCTTCTTGCACATGTACTAGCAGAGGTTGAAGATCCACCATGCAAGGAAGACATAGAGGAGTTCACTGTACTATGTGGGAGTTGGACTAGATGGTCTCTTCAATTCTAAGATTCCATAAATATGACATCATATTGTAATGCTGGATAGTGGGATTTCATACAAAACCATGGCTAATACTGCTTCTCAGTAAATACTGCTAAACTCTTTTTTATTTAATGACAAATATCACTTTAAGAATGCATATTGAAAAATGGTAGTTTAAATACATAGGGTTTTCTATTCTCCCTTCTTAAAATTTACTAAAGAAAAATTTAAAGTGTAGACCTGCAAAGACAAAAAGAAGAGGGATAAAGACAAGAACAGATGAAAGATTTCAACCTGTTTTAGGTTAAAAATGAACAGAAGAATGGCAAATGTTTTACAAAGTGGAATAAGTAAAAACCTAATGTCCACACAACTCCAGAAAGATGGAGTAGGAAGCATCAAATATAGAAAGAGGGGAATGTGGAGGAGGGTAAAGTTGAGGCTAAACATTGGAGGCTTCTTTGAAAGTCTGTACTGAGTACAGGTAGGTTGCCAAGTCGGCAATCCCACTCTGTGCAGCACAACTTGCCCAACTAGCAGAAAATAGGGAGTTTCGCCTAGAGAAGATAAATTGCAAAGACTCCAGAGGCAAGAATCCAGACTTCAAGGATGGTGGAGATGAAGTGCTAGACTGAAGAAAGATATTGAAGGAGTGCCTGAGTTCTGAACAGTGTGTGCACACACTCACACACAACACTCCCTTCTATAGTCCCAGAACACTGATAGACTTATCCTTCCAAGGCAAGAGACTGGAGAGTTACTTTCTAAAGAGTCTGAACAGCCCCAGAAAAAAGACCTTCAGATACATAAGAAATTTCCAATTAAAAAAAAAAATCATTTACCTCCTTTTCACTCTATTGAAGCTAGCTAGTTGACAAGCCACCATATCAGATAGTAGAGTTCCCAAACAGCATTTTGGTGCTCAACTGGAAATGAATCAATAGCCAAGGATTATCAAAGAGTTCAAAAAAGTCTCATAGATGAAAGAAGGATATTAAATCAAACAAATGTTTGGAAGGCAGAAGAAACTCAGATTAAATAGAAACAGGATCAAGCAGAAAATTGAGGCAAAGAGAATGTCCAGGACAATAATAGTGCAATCAGGACAGGTTGGACCAAAGGCATAGAAAAATTCAAAAAGGGATTTTGTCAAAAAAAAATGTAACTGATATACTGCCTAATAAGTCTGACAATGTGGAAAATATTACTAAGGGCTTCTCTATTTTTGTTGGTGACCTTAGTGATAATTTACAATAGGTACACACATTATTAAGGAAACAAAAATAATGAAGCAATTATGAAGTCCAAGAAAAACAAAAAGTTTCTCAAAAGAGAAAGCTTGAGTTTATTACTTGATTCAGCATTTCATAATACTTTCATATTCAACTTAATGTGAAAGCTGGATATTTAACTAACAAATTTCTATATTACATATAAGGATGAGGGAAGGGAAGAAGGTGATGTTAACTTCTCATCTACCATAAGAGGAAGTGGGTACAAAATATCAAAATTAGACACAGTAAGAAATAGCAGAATGAGTACATTCGTTTTTTTAAAAAATTGAGTAAATTACCAGAAGAAATCCTTAAGGATTTGAAAGTACTTACCTCTGGGGAGTTGAATAAGGATGGAATTAGAAAGAGTTGGAAAGACAAGGGTAAGGTTTGTGTTTTTTATTAGAGCCTTATGGAAAAATTTGACTTTAAACTATGGGTACTATGTTGATTAAAATAGTATTTAATTATCTAAAAAGAACAAGAAATGATAGTAGGATGAGAGCAGAGAGTAAAGAAACTAACATTATGAACTAAATCATAGATGTTATTATAAGACATTTAAGAAATTCCACCAGGAAGAGACTGGAAGAGAAATTCTATCATATTAAAAACTAATGAAGGCAATTTATGAATGACTTTATCCTTCTAATAAAACCATAGTATTGGTTTAAAGTTACACTTTATCAAAGCAGGCAAGAGAGCACACCCAGGGTCATAGGTAGGAGCTAAGGGCAGCCCGCTCTGCCCAGAAGTAGTCAAGAGAGTATGCCAAAACACCACTTCACACAGGTGGCCCACCACAGCCACAGCTGCTGCAAAAGTGGCTCAACACCACAGCAGTCGTTACAGCCACTGTGCAGGCAGCCTGCCAGACACTAAACTGCACTGACACAAGGAGAGTCACCAGTGGAGACTGGAAAAAGAAGAGGATGTCTCTCTCCTCAAACCCCACTCCAGAGTAATAGAAAAAGCAACCACTCTACCAGATGACAAAACATCAGTTGAGAGATACTAGAAATATGAAAATCTAGGAAAATATGACACCACCAAAATAATACAGTGATTCTGTATTCTTGTCATCTGGTACCCTTTACAGCAGGACACCAGACCTGACTGAAAAGGAGTTCCAAGCAACAATCTTAAGGAAACTCACTGAAATACTAGAAGACTCACCTAGACAACACAGTGAAATGAAAAAAAAAAAAAAGAAAGAAATCATAGAATATGTAAGCAAAAGTCTTTAAGACTCTGGAGTAGAGGAAGATTTAAACAAGAAGTATAAATTACAAGAGGTAAATGGTTGACAAATACAAGTTCAAAGTAAGAACTTATGCTCATCAAAGGCACTAAAAAGAGAGTGAAAAGACAGGATATGAAATGGACAAAAGTATTTTCAACATGCACACATGCATACACACATATTTATTTCAAGGAATTGGCTTATGTGATTGTGGGGACTAGCAAGTCTGAAATCTGTAGGGCAGGCCAGCAGGCTGGAAACTTTCGGGAAGGAGCTGATACTGCTGTACAAAAAATTTTTAAAAGAATTTTAAAAAATAAAGAAAATCTAAGAGAGCTAGCAGACAACCCTATGTACACAAACATCCAAATCATGGGTGTTCCAGAAGAAGAGGAGAAAGGAAAAAGCATGGAAAGCCTATCCAATGAAATAATAATGGAAAACTACCCAGGTATAAGGACAGACATGGACTGTCAGATCCAGGAGGCTCAAAGATCCTCAAACAGATTCAACCCAAAAATATCCTCACCAAGATACATTACAGTCAAATTGGCAAAGCTCAATGACAAAGAGAGAATCTTAAAAGAAGCAAGAGAAAAGTGTCGACTCACCTATAAGGGATCCCCATCAGACTAACAGCAGACTTTTCAACAGAAACTCTACAGGCCAGAAGAAAATGGTGTGGAGGATACCAACATTAATAAAGCTAATGTCTTTCACAGGGCCTAACACATAAAAATGTTAAGCTTGGGAAAAACAGAAAACTTTCCCAGGACTAAAGTCTCTGTTGTAGATAAAAAATTGTAACACAGCAAAAATGCTTGCTCTAAGAGCAGATGTCCTTGGTGCAGCTAAATCTAATTATGGGAAAGTATGTGAGCTAAAAGCTTCAAAGATAATGGTTGGCAGATGTTCCTCCTCTCACCTTCAGCTTTTTCTTAGAGTTTCTTAGGGAACTAAGTGTTGCCATGGCAATTATCTTGCTGTTTTTTTTTTGTAACCACCTGTGTTCCTTTTCTGTAACTTTCTTTCCTGGACAATAAATACTGAGAGAAAACCTGACTCCAGGTTATTTCCAAGGAATGCTTCTCTCTTAATGGTTCTGGAATTAACCCTTTCGGGCCTGTCACTGCTCAGGAGAAATGGGCTTTGAGTAATCTTTTGCATCTCCATCACCCTGGGAGAGGTGACAAAATAGGATGATATATTCAAAACACTGAAAGAAAAAACTGCCAACCAAGAATACTATTCCCAGAGGGCTAACCTTCAGAAACGTGGGAAAAATAGTATATTTTCCAGACTAACAAAAACTGTGTGAGTTCACCACCACACCACCAGTCCTACAAGAAATCCTTATGGAATACAAAAAATGATAATCACTACCACGAATATACAAGAAAGAACAAAACTAAATCTTACCACCACTAAAAATGGTAATGACAATGTAATTGTTTCCTGCTTTATTTCATTTTAATAATTTTGATCTTCACTCTTTTTTCCTTGGTCAGTCTAGATAAAGCTTTGCAAATTTTGTTGATCTTTTTAAAGAATCAACTTTTGACTTTCTTGATTTTTTCTATTGTTTTTAATTCTCTATCTTATATATTTCTGTTGTAATCTTTGTTATTTCTACTTATATTTGCTTACAGTTTAGTCTGTTCTTTTTCTATTTTCTTATGGCAGAATTTTACATTATTGATTGGAGATTTTTCTTATTTTTAATATAGGTGATTACATGCATAAATTTTCCTCTAGGCAATGCATGAGCCCTGAATCCTATAAATTTTGATACGATAGACTGATTTTTATCTCAAAGTGCTCTCTGATTTCCCTGTGATCCTTATTTCTACCCATTGTTTATTTAGGAGAATATTATTTAATTTTCATACATTTGTGAATTTTCTAAATTTCCTCTGGTTATATTGGTTAGGACATTTTCTATGATTTGAGACTTTTTAAAAGTATTAATCTTGTTCTGTGGCAAAAAGAAAAAAAAAATAACAAAATCCAAAACCAAAAATAAATAAATAAAATTACACTTTATCCTTCAATTAAAACCATAAATATTCTTTTAAGAGTGTACTACTCAAGCCAATTTACTACTACTATAGAATTTAACATTAAAAGTAGAATGAACCACATTCTAAAATATGGCTTTTTACAACCAATTTATCTGCTCTTTATTTGGGGGAAGGAAGAAGGGAGGGGAGAGAAAGTGGAGGTTGGAGAGCATCACTGAATGAAGTTCCTCTGCACACTCTTTTTCCTTCTTAACATAACTCCTCTGAAAGAAAGGAAAAATCAAACACAAAACTAGAAGAGTTACTAACCAGGAAGCAACTCTATGAACAGACTCTTGTTGCCAGTCAAATGAAGGACAGAGCAGGTCACAGCAGACACATTGCTGTGTGACCAGCGGCATGAACTCCAGACAGTCACTGTGCCGTTGCCCCAATATTCTTGCTCAGTGACACAATCCCCTTCTGGGCTCCAGGAGATCCATGCAGCTGGCCTGCCTGCCACTGCCTTGCACACCGCAGTTCTATTCTTGTGTAGAAACAGGGTCATTTCAGGAGGCACTGCAGAGGTGTAAGGGGAAAATGCTTCAGTTTTAACATAGCAAATATGGAATTTAAAGAGACATTTGCTTCAGTCCCAAATCTGCTGCTCTGAAATGCCACAATATATGATGTTCCTTACCTAACACTTGGAGGTGATATCTACGGTGGAAATTCCCATCAGATGCTGCCATTATACACTCATAATACCCTTCGTGAGTGATGGCCACTGGATCAATTTGAAGGTCAGGATTCTGATCAGGTCTGAAGGCCCAAGTTATTCTCTTGTCAGTACAATTGGTTTCCCTGGTCTCATTTGTGTCTCTCCTATAGGAGAGTTTGCAGGCAGGCTTGTCTTCGAGGATTATTTCCCATGTTACTAGTGTCATATTTGTCAATGGGATAAGAGGGCAACAGAGCACAGCCTTTGTATCCATTGGTCGAGACAGTAAAGTGTTAACTGGACACATACACAAAAGGAAAATGATAAAAAGAAAAGCTTTATAAGAAACCTCATGTGTTAAAGTTATCCACAGCATATTACATGAAGTTGTACTGGAACATTACCTTGATGGTGATCATATTCCAGAACTATTAGGCTTACATCGGAAATTAACTTTCACAACATATGCATAACATATTAAAACCAAGTTGAAAATTAATTAATTTTCTCTTGTATTATGTATTACTAGGAAAACAATGTCTATTAAAAAGTATTTTAAATTAATTCAGGAGCTTTGATATTTAGAAACAAACAAGAAAACAAAACGCTAAATTAAACAACAAAGGCAATGTTTTAAATCTAGTATTGGTAGTAGAGACTATTAGATTTATCATATGATTCATAATTCTCAGAAATAAAAATGGAATAATTAGTGATGTGGTTGTCTCTTCCCACGTTTTAATGAGTGAAAAAAATCAGTACATCAAAACTAAATGCCTGTCCCTAACTGTTCCTAGTTATGTTTATATTTCAGCCAAACATAAATGTAAATGGTACTTTGATTAAAAATAACTAATATGGCATTCAGGTAGAGCTAGCTGGAAATTTTTAAAGTTTATTTTTTTGTTGAAAGAAACACAAAGTCAGTGAATTCAACCAATCACAGTCTATAAATTCACCAGTTGAGCCATCCCACAAATCGATGATAACCAGTGATAAGAGATGCTCAGAAATATCTTCTTCTAGGGCCGGCCCGGTGGCGCACTGGATAGTGC